AGCGGGTACTACAACGACGTCATCGTCATGGCCACTACCAATATTTGGTGAAGTGGCGTGGGTACCCTGAGTCTGAAAACTCATGGGAGAATGAGATTCTCCTTCGGCAAGACTGCCCATACGCCGTTGACGTTTTTGAGCGTTGCGCTTCTCACTCGACGTAGTGAGAGCAGGAGAGTTCGTGTCAAAAGATTGACGTATTCTCGCGGCTGCAGAGGCAGCCTAAGCATAGCGGGAGCGTAATACTCCCCGCAGACGGTCTCTGGCCTATAACCTCGCAAAGTCATAGTGAAGCTTTCGCTAAAGACGAACGTCTACCACACTGGCACTTCAGCGTAGCGCGTGCATGCTACTGAAGCGTCGAACACCAAGCACCCAGCGGATGAACATATTGTCCTCGGCAATTTCGTCCCCATCTTCGGACATGTTGATGGGTATACCCCTAATTTGTGGAACTGGGGTTCCTTGAGCCTGCTTTTGCAGCCGTTCTCTGTATTTTCTCAAAGTCATCACAGTAGGTTCCAAGTACCTCTCTAGAAGAGCCTTGCGGCATTCGATTTCAGTGGGCGTTTTTGCCTCGGGGCCGGTGGCTCATGTTGCAAAGTATGGCGTGACGCTTGACTAATTAGTTCTTCCACACCAGGTGGAGTGAACGTATGTTCATTGTGTATTTGCAACTTTGTCTGAACTTCTACCTTGCGCCGTGCGCTTGCCGCTTGGTCGAGCATGTGTTGTTGCTTTTAATCAAGCGGGTTAGTGATAATGTATGTATCCATGGGGGACATTTGCTCCCAGTGCTGTTAGCGCAGTCGCGGCACTACGTTCGGGGAACGGATTAGGTGCGGATGGGGAATGTCCCCACGCACAGGCGTGTTGGGTATGGATTGCTCCCCCCCTCGACTTTGGTATCACTACCACTGTCACAGTCCACGTCCTCGACACCAAGGAATTTGGTTAGAGCCTTATCTGCCAGGAGGTGTCCAGGCCGGTCCATGTAAGTGAGTTACTTCTGTAATAGGTCTCAATGGGAGAATGAGCCGAGTGACGTTTGTAGTAACGTCAGTCTGGTAGGGGAGGGTGTAACGGGGTCACACTAGCCTTTGGAAAAATTTGCCAAAAACTTCCTATAAACGATATGGATGAATGTGTGTGACCTTAGATTTTATATCAGCAAGAGAATATCGATAGATCGATATTCCCAGGTTTACAGTACTTACCGTGTACGTACTTTGTACCGTCAATCATTTGATGACTGAGTCATGTGCCAATCATCCATTTGGTTCGAATGCTAATATTTGTATCAGTTCTGGTTCAGTATAATATTGGGTACTGAAAGTAGGATTTTCCTTGATTTCAAATCTAAATAAAGTTCAGGTTTCATTTGAAGTGTAACGGGGTGAATCGTTACATAACAATATTTAGGAAATTGTTAGTAGAATACAACTGTGAGAGTTATATTCTCAGAATTTTTTGTCATAAGGGCAAATATTCTGTAGCACTTACGAGTAGTTCCTAATTGGTTGATATAGGCCATTATTTCAACCAACGAAGACGCGCCACGACAGACGCACGCAATGAGTGGTGGGCAGATAGTTTATATACACATTTGTATTCAGACATAGTTAGATGAGGATAAATAGGGGTTTATTACAGACATTAACTATTATAAATACAGCTCTACTTTTTACTCTAACCAAGTACTCGCTTCTCCTTACCGTCTTCCTCTGCACGTACCAGTGTACGTGAAGTTCCGAGGCACCGCCCTATTCTGTCGTCAGAATAAGTAGCTAGTACTGTCACCAGTACAAGCTTCAGGGTGCCCCGTTACATGGAGCAGAAGTCGGTAGACTTTCTCCTTTCGCACATCGCGCTTGACAGTTCCTTGGAACTGCCGTAGCTTATAGGGTCCTTAGACTTCTATTCCCCTGTACATTGTGCTTGTGGTTCTCTAGAACTACACAGTAGTTGAGCTGTTAGCGCGTAGAGTCCACCGAGTTCCGTAGAAATGGGTGACGCTTTAACTTGATATATCAGTTCCGTAGAACTAAAAGGCTGTCAGCCGTAAGCCGTTGGCTTGTTAAATAAGTCTTCCTCTGACTTGAAGAGCTGTGTAGCTCCGCTACAATTTTTTGTCTTTGGGGTAATTGCGAGCCTGAACGATGCAGCTTTAATTGGCTGTGCGCAGGGCAAATCCCGGACTTCTCAGATAATCTCAGTCGCTGTGTTTGTCTCTTTAAATTTACGTTAAGTGTACCTTTCACGTCGTACTAAGTGCGATGGAAACTGTCTTGTCCTCATCGATAGCTATGCATCATAGGTGTCGCTCTCTGATTAGGTCACGAATTACGACCGCACAAGATGGGCAAGCTCTGAAGCTCGCCCTGTGATATGAGTAATTTTTAAATGTAGAACTGAATCAAGTTCTGTATATTCACACACCTTGCGCTCAGTTGATAAAAGCTTCACGCATCAGGCTCGCAATGATGCCTATTAACCAATGAAGAGGGGGTAAATGCTACATCGCACTTAGCACGACGTGTTAAGTACACCAAGCATTACTCACGTACACAATTGGTGACAGATTATATCGCACTGAGTGCGATGTAAAAGGAACACCTAAGGTTATTCACATACTCAGGAGATGACCGACTAAATCGCACTTGGCACAATGTTTATAGTGTTCCTAGCGTTATTTACAGACAGACACACATGCAGATAAATACGTTTCGAAAAGCTCGACATTCACATTACGCACATAGTCACTAACACCTTCACCCATCAGGCTCGCAATCATCGAAAAGGAATTAAGGTTGTTTGTTCTTGTAAGCTTGACTCGTACCACCCATCTTACTTTTGTCATCATGAGGGGTTTCCGATCAAGTGCTTATCTGAAACACCGCTATTCCTTGTACAAGTGCTCATGTGACGTCGAATTGCAACTGATTTTGCGCAGATGAACTTGCAGCAATATGACCAACGGAATGGCGAAAAGCGATTGGAGATGTTGTGGAGGATGGCATAGATACTGCGCACTAGCAAGATTGATGAGCCGCAGGCTCTCGAGCTGCCCCCGACCACGTAGTTAAAACTCCCACCATAGAACGATAAGTCGATGTTGTTGGTATAGACAACGCTGATGCTGGCGGTGGGAATGAGGAACGGTGCACAAAATAGAGCTTATCGATGCTTGACAGCGTCGTGACAAAAGTTGCTTCAACCCTTCCTGCTTTCCTAGCTGTCTAAATTATTAGGCATGAAGGGAGCGTCAATTCATACTCAAAATGGAGGCAGAGCTTTTGTCTCGATCATCTTGCACTCTTGTGAGCGTCAGCTATCCTTAATGTATTCACTTTTACCGTGCGCGCTAGTCTGTTCGTGCTGTCAAGCGGCTGTTGTCCTCTTCGATGCTTGCATGCGTGAATGATAAGATCCTGCGAACACGCGAGTGCAATACAGCAACCAAAGTTTTCGCACAAGGTTGACGAACTAAGGCAGTACATCAGTATGCCTAGCAACCACTGGTGCGGCTGCTTTCGACAACGTTGGTAACAACGCCATTCACCCGGGCAGCGAGTGACGCGTCGTGATAACAAGATCCGCTTCAATTTCTAGCTACTTGTATGTTACTACAAAGTGTCGACACTACCAAAACCCGGCTACAAAGCTAAGTTTCGTTATCGAAAAGGTTATGAAGTAAAGAAAGCGTCGAGTCTGAAGGTGACAGTTTCCGTGTGATCGAAAAAATCATCAATGGTCGAACATTTACGAGCGGAAGGGCGTTTACTACAGATGCTAACTAATGTACAGGATAACACCCAGGACCTTGGCTGCGATTGTAGTATCCCGACTCAACCAGTCCGTGGCAGTCGGTGTATACTACTGCGCTCGTGGACGTGCGCAAGTTTCTATCAAGTGCGTTGAAGACAGCCCCCTGGTAGACGAAGCGACCAAAGACAGCTCGCTGCTCCCCACATGGCAATTTACATGCTTTTTGCAGGGTCTACACAGACATCATTGTTACCGAGTTTTGTCGCTCGTGCAAGCACAAAAGGACCACACCCCCTCCTGTCCAGGTACTTCCACGCAACATCTGCGCTTTCGAGCGTAGCAGGCGTTTACACGATCGATCCTTCATTTCTGTAGCACCACGTATCGTCTTCGCATCAAATGACATCGTGTCATTGCAGCTGTCAATTCATCCAAGGGTTAAGTAAGCATCCGTGCTGAGAAATAGACCCGACGTCGCTCTGCCTCTGTTGGCAGAGAGTCTTTGTACGACTTGCGATAGCGTCTGTATGACGAAGTGGAACATCTACCTTTTTCACACCAATGGAAAGAAAACACGCAGACGTCTATATCGCAGCTAATCTACAGCTGCTGATGATTCGCAGCATCCTGTACACACTGACCTCAAGGCAGCGGTAGAACGTCTGAACCTACTTATGGTCCAGTTGTCGAGCTGGCACTCCAGACGGCACTATGTTTCTTGTGTCATGCTGACTGGAGTTGCATCAGTTGCTGATCCGTGGTGGCTTTACATTACCACAGCTGCGCATATGGTGCAGATGCTAGTATAGCGGCAGAGGGCAGCGACGACAATCCCCTTCTACAACAACTGACCACGTTGACTTCGCCTGCTGCTGCCGTGTCCGAGAGCTCCACTTTCTTGGCGCTTTTGTTGTTGTTCCGCATACTGAACCAGCCGTGTCAGTAAAAGCTCGGTGGTGCATAGGCGCTCGAAGCCTTGGATCCAGTGTGCCGCAGCCGGGCAATCACCATATTCACCTGTGCATCTGCTCAAATATTGACTCGTTCGTTGTCTCTTTCGTTGCCGTCATGTCGGACTGCACCAAGTACAAGTACCAACAGGTGCCTCCTTCCTCAAAGCCAACGCCTTGTAGTCGTCGCGCTCTCTCGTTCACTTTCCACTTCGACGCAACTCACGCACATCGCACTCGTCATCATACTGTCCTCGAGTCTCTTTTGACTGCTCAGTCACCATGAAGTTGTCCTTACAGCAATTGACTGCAGCATTGTCAATCCTGTCTCGAGCATTGACGGTTGCGACTGGTGTCGACCACGTCCGGAATACAAGCGATGCCGGTAATGACGTCGTGGAGATCAGGGACGCCAGGTGGCACTGGGAAAATGACCAGCACGCCGTCGTCACCTCTGCGCTGCACGCTGACTTTCTGGAACACTTCAAGCCAAACGACTTGAACCAAACATGCTCGAGCGATCGACACGCAATGTCCTTTACTCGTCAGGTGCGCGGCGCTAATCTCGGTGGGTGGCTCGTCCTGGAGCCCTGGATCACACCCACGCTCTTTTACCAGTTCCTGAGCACGCAGGAGCGCTTTGGAGATCAGGCGCCCAAGAAGACAGCGCTAGACATGTACACCTTTTGCACAGCGCTCGGCAAGAACGAAGCGAATCGTCAATTACGTATCCATTGGGCTACTTGGGTGACCGAAGCTGATCTCAAAGAGATGGTAGAAGCCGGCGTAAACTCGCTCCGTGTGCCCGTTGGTGACTGGATGTTCAAGCCTTACGAGCCATTCGTGGGCTGCACGGACGGTGCCGTCAGTGAACTCGACCGGGTCGCCGATCTCGCTCTCAAGTACGACATTGACTTGCTCCTGGACATCCACGGCTTGATCGGGTCGCAAAATGGCTTTGACAACAGTGGCATGTCGTCGTCGGTAAAGTGGACGTCAACTGCAACTGCGCTTCCCGTTGGTACCACCTCGTTCGAGCACTGGCCGCTTCGCTCAGCTGGATGGGCAGGTGAGTTTGACTCTGCTACGAACACGTACAGAAATGTCAATTACGAGCACCTGAAGCACTCCCTTGACACCGTCACGGCCATTGTCAATCGCTACGCCGAGCACCCTGCCGTCCTCGGACTCGAGCCAGTGAATGAACCATGGGAATACACGCCGATATGGCTGCTCAAGGACTACTACTGGAAGTCGTACAAGCGCGTGAAAGCTCGTGCTCCTCACTGGAAATTCGTGCTCCATGACTCGTTCCGCTTTGGCGTGCAGTACTGGTCTCAGTTCATGCGCGGATGTCCTGACATTGCTCTCGACACTCACATCTACCAGGCGTGGAACTCCCCGGGTACGCGCCCGGATTACTTTGCCAGTGCTTGCCAGCAAAAGTACAAGATCGCGGAGATGGAACACGCCTTGATGCCGGTCATCGTCGGCGAGTGGTCACTGGGCACGGACAACTGCGCCATGTGGCTGAACGGGTTCAACGACAACCTACCCGGCTTTCCTACCGTCCAGTGCAGCCTGATTGAATGTCCCGTACACAGCACGTACCTCGGTAAGGGCTTCCCGGGCACACCTTTAGACGTCACCAAGCCGATCCAGGGCCCCTACGGTACCGGCCAGTCCGGTCCATCGTTTGGCTTGTGCCCCGTCACCAGTAACATCTCATTTGGCCAGGAAAATGACGAGGACGAGCGCGAGTTTGCACGGAATCTCAACCTGAAGAAGCTGAATGCATTCGCAGCGGGCCATGGCTGGTATTTCTGGAATTTCAAGACAGAGTTTGGCTCGCGGTGGAACTTCCTTGACCTCGTTCGTAACGGCGCGTTCCCGAAGAACGTCTCAAACTACGACACGGATGATGAAGTGGCTACTGCTTGTTTGGCAGAAGACAATGGTGCCTTCACGTGCTCGACGAAGCAGGGAGTGCGTGTCTCGGACCTTCAGAGAGGCCTGGATTACGCCTGTGGGGGGGACGACAACAAGGTGGATTGCTCAGGCATTAGCGAGCGATATGAGACCATCGAGGAGCGCTGTGACTGGGCTTATAACGAGTACTGGCATGCACATCGTGGGGAAGGCAGTACGTGTGACTTTGGTGGGACCGCTCATTTGCTCGCGAGTCCCAGTGTCTCCAACGTGGTGCACCTGACGGTTGTGGCCTCCTCTTTGAGCAATAAAGTGCTCATCTGGACCCTGGTCGCGACCATCGCGGGCTTTAGTGCACTGGTTGCTGGTCTAGCTCTGGCGCGCCACCGAAGGCGAGAAGGGTACGCCCCCTTGCTCGGTCACGTGAGCGTGGACGTGAAGTCAGTTCCCTCATAAGCATGAGTCGGTCAGTCTGCTAGGTTGTCTACAGGGGTGGGGTGAAGGTCGAAAGGATACGCGAAGGCGGAGGCGAATTGAAATGAACGTTGAAAGCCTCGATCGAGTAATGACTTCAGGGTGCGGTATGCACTACGAAGCCCTGGACCACTCCAGGTGGTGCAATTCTTATAGAGACACAAGCAGCAAAAGTCCAATGTAACGTCGCTGCCACGTCGTTTTGCATTCAGAAATGGTTGACAGGTAAAGATATTGTGGGGGAGCGACTGTGTCGATATGACCCCAAGCTTCCATGCCACATTTGCCGTAAGCTACTTTCGTGATCTCAACGAGACTGTAAACTGATTGTTTCGAAAGGAGGAAAAGAGGCATCCAACGACTGATTCGAACGTTAGAGTAACTCTCCGGCTCGCGGCGTTTCGAGCTGGAATGAAGAGCAGGTTACACTTCCAGTAGCTCCAGTGGTCGGGTACGAAAAATTCCGTCAGTCAGTCAGTCACTCACGCACGCAGCTGGCGATCAATCATCACATCCTTCGGTACGGATCTTTTTCTTTCCACTCGTGTCCCTTGGAGCCGCACATTGGCTGATATTGTCCCTTCCATCCCGCCGATGCCTGCTGCCTGGAAGATCGCCATCGGCTCATCCCCGTAATTTCGCATCCTTATCTCATCCCACCACAGCGGAGTTTCTTCCTCCGTCTCCTGCTTCTACTATGTGGTCAATTTTGTAGTCTCCAGTTCTCGAGCACGCAGTCTTAGTCGCCGTACCAGGCGGCACCAAGATCCGCCCTCTCTCGCCTTCACTTTCGAATTTGCTCGGTCGAGCACAAGCGAGAGCTGACGCGTTTTTCTCTCGACCAATCACGTGGTTGCACACCATGGTCTGGTCTTCCACAAAGACAACGACAGCTGCAATGGGCGCACTGCTCGCCGCTGCAACAGCACTGCAGTTGCACGTCGTTGAGTCAATGGGCACGACGGCTCTGAACGACGACAGCCCCGACCACCACCACCACCACGCGCACGACGACGTGGCAGCTGACGCGCCGCCACTTTCGGACGGCCCGCAGGACAAGGAAGGCGCGCCCGACTACAAGTGGTACTGGCACCACGGTGAGGACTCGATCTTTGCGCAAGACAGCGGCGTGTTCACGAACTTCAAGCCGAACGATACGGACCAGACGTGCTCGCAAGACCTGCACGCGACGCCGTTCAACAAACAAGTGCGAGGCGTCAACCTCGGCGGGTGGCTCGTGCTCGAGCCGTGGATCACGCCCACGCTCTTCTACCAGTTCCTCAACACGCAGCAGAAGTACGGCGACAAGGCGCCGGAGAAGACGGCTATGGACATGTACACGTTCTGCACGGCGCTGGGGAAAGAAGAAGCGAACCGGCAGCTGCGGATCCACTTTGACAAGTGGGTCACTGAAGACGACATTGCCGCGCTCGCGGAAGCGGGGATCAACTCGCTTCGCGTGCCCGTGGGCGACTGGATGTTCAATCCGTACGAGCCCTTTGCCGGCTGCACGACTGGAGCCGTGGAAGCGCTCGACCGGGTTGCAGACCTCGCGCTTAAGTACGACATGGACATTTTGCTGGACATCCACGGCCTCATTGGCTCGCAGAACGGATTCGACAACAGTGGCAAGTCCACGGCAGTCAAGTGGACGTCCATTGCCAGCACGCAGCCTGTGGGCACGACGACGTTCGAGCACTGGCCGATCCGTCAGGCCGAATGGGCCGGTACCTTTGACGTGGAGAATCACAACTACACGAGCATCAACTATGCTAACCTCAACCACTCGATTGTGACGGTGGAAGCCATTATCAATCGATACAAGGGCCATGCAGCGATCATGGGGCTTGAGCCGGTCAACGAACCGTGGGAGCTCACGCCGATCAAAGTGCTGAAGGAGTACTACTGGAAGTCGTACAAACGTGTCAAGGTGCTTGCACCGTCGTGGAAGTTTGTCATCCACGACTCGTTTCGGTTCGGGTTGCCGTTGTGGGCGGATTTCTTGAGAGGGTGTCCAGATATCGCCATGGACACGCACATTTATCAGGCGTGGAACCCACCTGGAACCATGGCAGACTTTAACTCGAACGCTTGCCAGCAAAAGTATGTCATCACCAAGATGGAAAACGCCTTGATGCCCGTGATTGTCGGTGAATGGTCAGTTGGAACGGACAATTGTGCGATGTGGCTGAACGGATTCAACGACAACCTGCCCGGCTTCCCGAAAGTCCAATGTCATATGGTGGACTGCCCAGTCAACAGTACGTATCTCGGTGAAGGGTTTCCAGGCACTCCGTTGGATGCGACCAAGCCAATCCAGGGACCCTACGGCACGGGCATGTCGGGTCCATCATTTGGCAAGTGTCCTGTCACTAGTCAGAGCTCGTTTAGCCAGAAGGATGACGCTGCGTTGACCAGGTCGTTGACGCTGAAGAAGTTGAATGGTTTTGCTGTGGGACACGGCTGGTACTTTTGGAACTTCAAGACGGAATTCGCTACGAAGTGGAGCTTCTTGGACTTGGTTCGCAACGGCGCGTTCCCCAAGAACGTGTCGCACTACCATGAAAGTGATGGTGTGCAGAAGGTTTGCGTGAAGGAAGACGAAGGTGACTTTGTGTGCCGTGCAAAGCGTGGGGTCCAAGAGTATGAGCTCAAGAGCGGTCTCGCGTTTGCATGCAATTTCCCTGATATCGACTGCTCCGACATCGAACAGCGTTTTGACACTTTGGAAGAGCAGTGTGACTGGGCTTTTGACCAGTACTGGCACTTCAATCGCGAAAAAGGCGCGACTTGCGATTTCGGTGGCGCTGGTCACCTGCTGAGCGTGCCAGGCGCGGCTCCTTCGAAGCACGCGTCTTCCCCAACATCCCAAAAGCTCAAGGCGAAGCAGCCGGACGATTCGTTTGCGCCAGTATCCGAGTGGGGTATTGCAGCCATCTTGGGTGTCGCTGGTCTCGCCCTGGTGGTGGTGGGCGCTGCGGTCTTTGCCGTCATGCGCTGGCGTCAGCAGCGCGCGCGCCGCGAGTACTCGCCAATTGCCGGTCGCTCGTAAGCCGGAGTTGCTGCTTGACTTTTTAGACGTGGAAATTGCGCTAGCATAATTGAGAAGGACCAGCTGGAGAGAGTAGCAGAGGGGTGTAGCGTAAGGTCATGAAGGTCCATCAAATCACCAAAAGACTGATGAAGTCGAAAGATAACGAACGAGTCCGCCGGAAACACGTCACTATGAGACAAGCGGATAGATCGTTCGTGTGCCCTTTTGTTTGTCTCAGGTAACCTTTTATCACGAGATGGGCGACTCAACCTGTAGGCAACCTCAGTGCTCTGCAAAAAAGCGCAGGCGGCAGTACAATCACCACATTACTCTGCAAGAAAAAAACGCAAGTGGAAGTCTAAGCACGAGTGTAAGAGACGTTACTGTCAGGTTAAGGCTTGCGTTAGATAAGTTTGACGCTGTCGGTGGTATATGAGCGAGCAGGAATACAAAGAAAAGTCGTGATTGAGCGGACGGGACGTTGGTATGCTGGACGAAATTCAATACCGACGAGTCTGGACCTGTACGATTCGTGGTCGTTTGCTTGGAAATGCGATGGAGGTCACGATGGCCGACATGGACAAGGAGAACGTGATGATGTGCATTGTTCCTATAGACTACAGACTATCAGTTCCGGCTAGAATCGCGATGAGCACCCAAGGATACACGGATTCATGCGCAGGGTAATTTCTGTCGCAATGCAAACTGTTGCAGCCAGTTGTAGGCATTGACTAGACTTTTGCAGTCATGCTACGTCGGCTTCGTATTGTTCTTGCATCCACGCATAGTAGAGTCGTACGGTAGGGCCGCTCAATCAAAAAGCTTCAGCAAAGTACCCGTTCACTCCTTCACCTCTCGGGCAGCGACAGCATTATGCCAACAGACTACAATCGCCGATCTGAAACTGAACAGTTCGCATCCGTATCTCCTCGCTATTCTTGACCCCGGTCACATAGCTACTTTGCAGTATCACAGCTCGCGGATCAGAGAGTAATTGTGCTATTGCACATCAGCGAAATATGCATCGTTCAGCTGCAGTTTAGCAGAAGAAGGTTTACCAGCTCCGGGGACAATAGAAAGATAGCTTTGGATCATCGATTTACGTTGATGTACAGGTGAAGCCGACCTGTGAATTCACCGTTCGGTACCATAACAAGACAAACGACAGCTCAGATTTCACGCATCCCACGCTCAACTCATTGAGCGATGCTCTATGGAAACGCAGATCGAGGCACACATTGTACAAACATGCAGGACCCCTTCGAGCGCTGCCACCGCGCCTGCTGCACTTCGTTTAGGCTAAGTCAATACAACATCCCAGTAAGTGACAGGTACGTGCACATCACGCGTACTAAACGTGATTTGGATCTTTTGCAGCTAAATCCGATCGTCGATACGTTGGAGACCGAAGGCAAGCGATGTGCAGCAGGTGAGGTGGATATTCAATTCGGTGTTCTAAATCAAAATCTCTAGTTAACATCTCTCCTCTTTACATGAAGAATCTCAACGAACTATCCTGCTATGCGTACTGCGCGGGAATACTCAAGGATAGTTCGGGCTGCTATTCAAGGAGAAAGAGAGTTATTGTCAATTGATACGCGTCTACTATGTGCAATATTCATGGACAACCTGTGCCACGGTATAAATGCATAGAGACCCGGGGATCGTGCTGTGTTCCGTGAGAAGTGTTGACCGTCTAAGTTCTCGATCCGGCAACTCCACGCATGGCACTCGTGATGGCTGACATGACTTTACAATTTCTCCTTCTCTCCTTTGTTTGTGTTGGCATTACGCATGCAGCCCAAAAATCGTGTGTGCTCCTGCGAACATTAATTGTGGTTGCTTGGTAGACACCTACATTACTGTCTGCCCAGATGCTCGTTTAATGAATTGTTACATTGGATGTACTAAATTTTTGTCCATAAGCGTCCGGCCAATTCCACACAATCCTGATACTTATCTTCGAGAATTCATTCTTGCGCGATGCTTCCTGTGTAAGGTTAGTCTGTAAATTTGTCTACTAGTATACGCGCCAAGCATCATTGTGTCCGCTGGTAGGGCAACCGTACCCTTCTCCAGTTCTTGACGAGTCAGTACCAGGGTGTGATGGCGCACCGTGTTTCCAAGATAGACAGCTGATATTGTGCACGCATCGTTGGTTCACTTGTGTCTTTCTGTCTTTGTCGTTATCAAATCGCCTTGAATGATACAAAACGATCCGTCGTGTCACAACACGATGCCCCGTCCTACTTAATGGACAATATGTGGGACCATTGATATGGTCCAAAGCTCACGTCTTTGTTTTCCTCGGTACAGCGCGATGATATTCATCTGCTCCTGTCTTTTTAGGTTTGGTCGATCCACGAAATTGACACCAGTCACAAAACAATGTGTTCTGTTTTGAATGACTCGCTTTCCTAAGGTCTTTACAATGAAGCAATTTGTCGTGACGTCCGGGCATGAATTTGAAACCGGTAAAGGTGCGAGTGTGCTGTAAAAACGACATTCCATATCCAAAGGTAATGACAAATCGTTCTATTTGATAGCCGTCATTGAGCTCCGAGGTGATCTGTGGCGAAGACCCCATTTACCATCATGACATTTGTGGTATGCTGGATGACCTGCGAGAAAACTGCAAGATGATTGCACCAGAAGATGATTGCCCCCGATGATGATTGCACTGGAAGCGATTGCATCAGAAGGTGATCGCAATAGGAGCGATTGCATCTGAAGGTGATCCACCAGCCCTATTTTCCTTTTGGTTGCACCAGAATAGCCACCCTACATATTGAAATCCCTCCTACTCAATTGTCATCCTTCGTTTTTATGATTTGAGACTTAGCCCCACTCCCGGACACGGAACGAGTCTGTCATCTTGATGTATCAAATTTAGCTACTCATGAGATACATCAACATCCCGACACGAATCCCGTTGCCTCCATTTGGAATGGAACAACAAGGATGCGTAAGTCACGTACATGATCGTGACGGGACAAGAGAGTGCAACCGCTCGAGCTGACGTCGCCAAAGTGAAGATCAAGCTCTTTGTGGTCAATCAGCGTAAGACTGGCTTACACGGAGCGTAACGTTCAAAAGCCTCGCATAATAAAAAGGATGGGGCACTGATCATTTCATGGTCCAAGTTTTCTTTATGATTGATGGTGATCTCTTGTGCAACGTGGCGCATATCTTCCGTGAAGCTTCCAAAACAGGGCTCACGTTTGGATAGTTGCCGCCGTGAGATCGAACTTTGCTCCTTGTTCCAGCGGACTTCTGCAAAACGTGAATGAGTAACTACGACTCCGAACAAGCGCTGCGACGAGACTATACAACGCTGTTCGACACGTCCGTACAGCTTGCACAGATGTACGCTGATCTTCCCCAGGATGCACAAACCATCTCAAATTTTCAGCGTTGCCGCTACTGGTGCCTAGAAACGCTAATGACCCGTCAAGATAACTCACATTTTTTTCAATAGCATACCAAGGTATGATCGATCTGACCACGTATGTCAGCACCTCTAAAAACGCGAGCATCAGACTGGTCATGAATAATCAAATGGTCAAGAAATTCAGGGTGAGAGGGGTCACAGACGGCGATACCAACAGGGTTGTTCAATAACTGCAGAGACAGGCGCGGCCAGCGCGAGCAACGCGACTCGCGTGAACAGAGCCAACCTCAACAAAGTGTCTCGCACGACAAGAAGAAATACGATCAGCAATAAAAAAGTGTAAAGCCGTTTTTAACATTGTGGTGAAACGCTTTTCAAAGTAGTGGATCTAGGGTTCATAAACCGACGGCACCGTAGAGAAAGAGGCCATGGAGAGGACACGACCTTAGGACGAGCGGGATTTGCAAGGCCAACAGTAGGGATATCATTAGCAGGATACTGGTTAAACGGTACAGAAGGAAATTGACCACGTTCCATCATCAGATAAAACGGATTATTCGGGTAGACCTCAGTTCCCGGTGTCGACAGCGGCCTCTATTCGGTAAAATATGCATTTTGTTGGTATACCTGGATCTTCATCGATGGAACTGGTCCCTTATTGGGTGTACCTTGGTCCCTCATCGGTAGACCTGGTCTCTCGTTGGTCGACATCCGTCCCTCAAGGCTCGTCCAATCCTGTCCGGTCAAAACAAGGAATCAGGGCATAGGCAAGGACGTATTAAGAAAGTTAAAGGATGAGAATATTGTAAATACTACTCGCTTTGCGATACACGCGGTACACCATTTTGTTGCGCTTAAGAGGAACTTTAGTTTTGATGGCCGCCTCTTCCAAGGAAGATAATTACTTTGGCCGCTTCGTTGGATACATTCTCGTAGCAAGACCAAAGTTGAAAATTTTTGCCTTGCTGCCCGCCTGTTCCGCATGAGGAATATACTTTCCTTTCTTTCCCGTTAAAGATAGTCGTGAAGAAAAGCCCGATTGCAAATAGAATCCTAGACAGTATTCGGCCTGTGAATGCATCTCGAGTAGCACCCGCAAAGATCCGCTACTGAAAGCGGCCTCCGCCTACCTAGCAGTCTGAGAGCAGAGTCAATGCCAGGTGATTAAACTCCTGAAGCACCAAAATATAGGCTAGCGGCAACAAGATCCCTGGAGGATTTTGCTCTAGGTCTACTTTCGACCAGATCGATTAGTTGTCACCTACTGACCTAACAAGTATAGCATATTCGCTTGAATCCCCCCTTCTCAGATCTACCTCTGTCGGGCCAACATCTAGATCCTCGCTCAAGTCTTTAGAGGAGTGCAACCCGCCAGCTGAAGGAATTGCAAGATGAGTGACGTGCAATGCGCGGCGTCAAGGCAAACCCTCTGTTAGACAACAGTCCGGTACAGTGGGTGGTTTAAGTTCTCATCGCACAGCCTTGGAAACCAACTCTACTTCAAAACCTTTATCTGTCCGTATGTGTCCGTGAAATAATCAAAGAATTGGTTTGTCGGAATGCAGTCATTGGCTTTTACTGTACAATTAAATGCACGTGTTGACCGTAACGATTCCAGCCAACTCGATTTGTAAGTGTGCCCTTCTAGACAGGTTGAATTTCACCTTTGCCATGGTGGAGCTGAATGGCGGAAAAAAAATACGCTGCAATCGTCTCTCGAGCCAGCTATCATATCATAGAATAATTTTTTTTCCAAGTAAACGTAGCTCCGGGCAAGATACCCAAGCTTCGTAAGATCAACTGGATCTACCTCCCAAAGCATCGATTGACGCGTACCTAGCTTTGAATTACCGTAACAAAAGCAAAAAACATTGAGCGTGAATACAGTAAAGGCGACCACGTGATGCTACGAAAGAAGATTTGTGCTAAACTGCACACTCGAAAAAGCTACAGGATCCGAGAAGGTCCATGCTGAACTGAACGATGTGATGAAGCTAAATGGCCATGTTTCTTTTGTCAAGTCCAAGACAACGGTACAATAACCATTAACAAGGGTAAGATAATCAAGCGCAAGAAAATCCGCTGCTTTTTACATGACAAATATCACAGATCATGAAAGGTATTACGGGGGACGGGGTTTGGATGACCTCCGAGAGCACCAGCCGATGATGCTCTTGGAGGTCATTTGAACCACACACCCCAACATTAGAAATAATTACACTTTAAAGTGATTGCTTCAAACTTATTCTAATTTAGATCGCACCTATATTACATACATGAGCCCCAGCGTGCCATTGCGTCTTCCGCGGGTACATTATTTGGGCTTCGATCACCTTACCCATCCGAGTGGTAATGTACCAGAATATTCCATTCGTGTGATCCCGGGCACTCATGCCTTCCACATTCACACCTCGTAGGTTTCGCCAACAGCTTTGAGCTCGTCAATTGTCCCTTTTGGGCACCTATTCTTCCTCCATGATTTTCAAATCGTTTAGTCGCACCGCCTCTGCGTTCGAGGCCGACGTATGAGGTGATGTGTCCTGATCAGTCCATTTGTTTCTACTTTCGCGGACATCTAGGTTGTCCTTTTTCACTGATGTCACCTCACGCGCTGCCTCTGTGGTCGCAGCATTATCGGCCGTCCTGGCTGGATCGATTGGCTACGCTTTATCTGACACTATCATGGATGCCATTTTAATTTATTAGGAGTGAATTCCTGCATTTTGACTGATGAAGCCTCTACCGCTCTTTGATCTTCCTCTTTCCTGTCCATTACCATGTCGCCCGTTTCTTCGTCTTTGTATTATTAAAATTATAAAAAGTGCCTACGCGCCGACCACTTCTTGTCTGATTAAATTTGCCACCTCTCTGCCTCGTCGTACTTCTACTGGTACTTGTTTTAACCGCCGTTTTTTCGTAGATCATAAATAAGCCTACTTTTATTACACAGCCGGCCCGTTATAGGTCCCGTTTCTGTTATTTCTATCTTCGGCGGAAGACGCATTCGTCATTATCCGGTTTGTCACATTAGGTTCCTATCATTCTAGATGCCCACACGCCAGCACCCACCTCTACACGTTACGCTTCAGTCATCGCAATTACCTTCTCCTTGGACCATGTTGTTCCAGGTGGAGTTGTGGGGCGCTAGATGATTAGAAGAGCTTGAATTCGCCACCCCCCCCGGCTATATTGGTGGAATCGGGGACGACACAAGGCTTACCCTCGTACCCCCACCCGCCTCAATACTACCTTCCGGCTCCTCTAACGGTCTGACTTCCTGATCGCAGGTCGTCCATCACTTGTGCTCTTTGTAGCAAGTTGGAGTATGTTCCCTCATCATCACCGAAGTATGTGGCTTGTTATCGTGTTGTATCCTTCTGTACTCCCGAATGACGCAGACTTCGCATTCCATAGTCACGGTTTTCCGTAAAAACATCACAGTAAAGCTATTACATTCATTCTCACGGCGTAGCTGATTTGATTAAAATGAAGCACAATCTATCAAAATTTTAAACTGTTAGGTGTGGCTGGACTCAAAAACGCATATATTGCAATCAAACCCTTCTATATTTATACGGCGCTCACGATGACTGCGGTGAAGAAATAATTTTTTATACACGTCCCATTTACTTTAGACCTGTGAAACCTCGATGTATCTTGTCGCCATTCCACTTACTGATTATGCAACATACTTGAACGAGTGGTGAAAACATTAGCCCACCAGACAACCCTGCGTTAGCAAAGGAGCAATTTCTAGTCGATTACTCGGATTATTGCTTAAGTATAAATCTGCTATGTACCGTACACACATCAGGCGTTACACAGAAACTATCGGGTGTTACATAAACTTCTCAATTATTGCCGAGGCATTTCGTGCGATGCAGTCTGGTTTTGACATGGAGGTACAGGGCGTAGGACAGGTAGACCACCATATCTTTGTCGGGTCAAATTAATTTGCAGCAGAAAATCAGGTAACCGCTTTGTGCGTCTATGCCTATGGCGTCGATATCGGCTGAATTTGTTACGATCATTTTGATGTTCCGGAGCTAATCATTCAGCCTGAAGCCAACTCTCTCCATTACGGCGTTATGATTTGAAAGCCTGGGCCACCGCCGCTGATGGAAGAGAAAATGAAGGGTTATATATATATGTACGGGTAGACGCAATTTGGCAAAAGACCGACTGTTTAACCGTGAGGCAGTGACGACGAAGGATAATGGGTGTCTAATTAAGCCAAGTACAATGTGATAAGGAGCACCGCAACCTCACGATACGGTAGCTCTTATGCTTTCTTAGGCACATACGTATATATCCATGCGAGACAGTCAGGATATTAATTCTACTAGTATTGACGTAAGTATAGACGGTCTACATTGTTTTGCAGCAAAAACATATAACACGCCATTGAGCGCAATGCAAGCTCAAAAGAGTCGTCAAAATGGATAAGACGGAATTTAACAAAAATTTGCAAGCAGGCGAAGGTAATAGTGGTCAATAGATTGCGGGGTCTGTGAAGATTCTGCTCATCTCAACTTCCATTTACAATTTTTTCGTGCGCGATCAAGGCGAGCTTTGTCTGCCCACTGCCGTACATTTACAAATTCAGAGTGTTGCCTGCAATATTTTAGACGAGTGCAATGTCCGGGAAGATGCTGCTTAAACTACCCTGGTTGTTGCATGATTGGTAAGTGTTTATCTGGTTGTTCCTCCATTTTCAGGCGTCGTGTCTGTTGCTGTGCAGAGACCACTAATTCTTCTTTACGGCGGCTATAGCAGTCACTAGAACGGCAAGATTATTTTTGATGCGGTGCGGCTCTGAATCACATTCGTGCTCTTGATGGCGAATGTATATCACCTTCAGCCGCTGTGAGAATGTTTTGCCGTTTGAGGACCAATATTTATGTAGTGATGCGAGAGTGCAATTTGAACGCGATACAGCTCTATCGAGCGCAAAACAGACACTAGATTGGTAAGAACAGCGTGGGCCAAAGCCATCCATAATAAGTCTTCCAGTGTGATATCTGGCTTAAAGAGAGAGGAGTAAGGACAGTATCACTGTTGCAACATCAGCGCTTTACTAAGTCGTTTAAAGATGGCGTGTGTACTAAGGACGTCGAGTTGCTTTCCTAGCTTAACGTCCTAGAAGTCGTGCAGACCCAGGGCTATAATTTTCATGCGTCGTTAATAAATGCTCGCTAGAGGTGGAATATTTTTGATGTGACTGTCGAATCTTGATGCGAAGGAACTAGCTGGACATGTATGTGTAGCAGCCGTTTCAGGTTTATACAGCAATTATGCATGGTACTATTCGGCAAAATATAAGTTATAATGTGTAACGGGGTCACATGACGAGTACCGCCCGAAAGGAAAATACGTTGAATGTGTGATGTAAATACCAAGTTTACCTGTGATAATTGATGTGGTTGATAATTTCTGTCTACCACTGATGACAGAATGACGCTCCTTGCATCAATCGCTTAGGACACTACGGATTGCTGTAAGAATTTGTCTAACCTTAGTATTAGGTAGTTGAATGAGTTTCATTACAGACACTCGTAACGGAATAACTGATCCGGTTTTGATCTATTGCTGATACATGTGTAGTTTAGAAGTCGGCAGATCGCAAAGAGTACGACCCTTCTTGTGGCAAGTACTTTACAGCACTTTGTACGTGATATTCTTGGGATCGTTTTTAGTCTTCTAAACCAGGACAAGAAGCACTACGAGCACGTAGATCCTAGGAGTCTTCGTCGATTTTCTAGCGGGGCACCGGTCTTTTGTACTATCACAGTACGAGCTCTTACACTGAACACAGAGTGAGGTGGTGCCTCGAGACTTCACTTACACGCGTCGTGCAGAGGAAGATTTTAACACAAGAAAAGGGTAATGTAAGGGTAAAGTAGAACTGCACTTAGTATAGTCAATCTCTTGTCAATATATCCTATTTAGTCATCGTTTAACCGTTTCTGATTGCTAACATGTATTGTAACTATCTGCTCACCACCCACTGCCTTCTTCGATCGTGGCTTGGCTTTATTGGTTGATCTCGTTGATCTATATCAACCATTGAGCAGTGTATTACTTCAGCAACATATGATTAATTATTTAGCAATTTTGGTGAGAATATTCTGTTTGTCCTAGCAGTTGTACCTGATATTTACCCCGTGTAGACTGTCATGAAACGGAGGCACCCCGTTACAGATTAGAAATCAGAAGCAGTGACTCTTTTAAAAAAACTAGTAGGAACTCAATTTTGTAGAACGAAGTGACTTCTTAAGTCGAAAATTTTCATCTGGCTAAGAGTTGTGAAGCTCCGCTGCATGATAAATATTTGTGATTTTTCCAGACCTTTTTGATGAGCGCACTGGCCGCTACTCCCAAGCGCTTAGCTTCTTCAATATTGATAGCAGAACAGAAGTCAGATCACTCGATTCCTATTGAAATTGTCTTCATGACGATGCTTAGATTTTCCTTTAGGATCTAGACTTCCGGCAACAATCCATTCCGTTACGTCATCGAAATTCTTCCTGCACTCTATAAACACTTGAGCTCCAGTCCCTGCTATAGGCCAACTCTACATTCACTACTCGTCGTTATCACGTGCTTGGTCGTTCTCTTTGTGGGTCTCAAGTATCCGTCTTCGACGATTATTCCGGTACCATTCAGCCCTGTTGATGACTTTCAATCGTTGCACGGATTCCTTTGATCACATCATCGACATGCGCCATTTTATACCGACATAATCGCGATTCCTCATGTCGGCGTCACCTTCATTGCAACCACAACGAGGACTTCGAGCTATGGTGGCAGGAGACAATCTCTTGAGGCTCGCATGAATGTACGGGACGCAAGAAATGGGTGATACATAGCTCCTAGAGGTCACGAATATCTCAAGTGTTTTGGAAACGGCTTTCGAACGCAGAATCTCACTACCTGATCGACCGTACTATGATACAACATATCACAGCACGTTCAATAGTATCAAGTATTGTCGCTACTTACCTCTTGGCCTTTTACCGTTCCTCGAGCATTTCTCATGGTGTGGTGTATGCGACGAGATGCACTTTGTTCCAAATCAACTCATTTTGCTACAGTCGGCCTGTAAGGACCGACGTCTGTCGGTCGTGTTATATCCAGCACCGTCTTCTTGGATCGCGAACAAAACTTGTGCGGATGTGGATATCACGCTAGGCCCTCATAGCACAGTTGTCATTTATCTGGATGCTGTCGGGCTGCAGTCATGTGCTGTCATGCTCAACGGAGTTGTCGCGACAGACGTCGAGTTATTCATATACGCAGCCCGAATCTAACACCGGTCACAATCCCACGCCAACTTCCATTCGGCTCAGTGTACAACTCGCATCCGATAATGCAGTCGGTGATGGTTGCACTTGGCTGCGCACTTTTATAGTTTAACAGTGACGCCAGGTCGAGCAGGCTAATTCTGCAAACTGCCACGGTGCATCATGAGTCATTGCCTGGAACAATGAACATGTGTGGCCCATCTCGTTAAATGACCATCCTTAGCACCTGTAAACGGCCTCGACAAGTCTCCTTGAGAGCCATCACTTGGTGCCGACTACAGCCATGAAATTGGCTAGGGATCTACTACGAGGTCAAGAAAGAGCATACATGACCGTCAATGTTCTATCGCAGCACTATAGAACGACATCGGGACGACACTTTTGTATTCAAGAAGTCGATGAGACTTGTCATGGGCTGCTTGGTGTATCACCGAGAACGCGTCGTGTTCATTGTGCTGATTACGAGAAATGAGTGATTTCGTATGCTACTGACGGCTTCACTTCCTTGAACCGGCTTAATTTATGTCCGTCCAGAGGTCGGATGTCGATGCGTAACTAGCTTCGTCGTGTCGTAGTGCGAGACGACACTTACTTGTAGCTGATGGCGCACTGCTTTCCACTAAAGCATGCAGCGCCACAGAGACGCCAAATAGAGTTTTCTTGTGGCCGGATGTCACTTGAGCTATCCCCTTCACCAGTCGTCGATACAAGAGCTGATATACGTATCGGTAAGACTTGTCGCGATTCTATATAGTGAGTCCTAGCACTTCTAAAGCCTCTGGGACCGCTTGGTATCGAGCAATCATTACTTCCGGTATTCTTTGCTGTCATCGAATCGAAATCAGGGTAACCCCAAAACTCGGCACAATTGAAGTTTCAAATGTAACTCTACTGTAACGAAATGTGCCCGCTGTATCGTTGTTTGTTTTGCAAAAAGCGTTTGTCTCGAAACGGCACGTTGCGATCATATCGGCAAAGAATTGCATCGCGATGCTCCTTTTTTCTAGTGACGGACAGCGTACTGGCATTACAAGCGCGTACGTCAATCTCATGTCGAGGTACGTGGATCAGGCGTTGTAAGAGCGCCAGTTACTCACGAACCCGACCTGATGCATGTGAGTGGGTCAACGGCTCTGTTAGCTTAGGATCACCGATACGATCGTCACGGGGTCCCCGTTGACCATTCATAATTCGAGGTGCAAGCGAGTGAAATGCTGCACTTGATGAACGAGAGATGCTGGACGCCATGACGACGTCGAGTGTTTATCATCTGAAAAAACTTCACGAATGATGATCTCATGTGTTGTTCACGTGCTTAAGCGCTCGTCCACTGAAGGACATGGAAAGTCGAGCGCTTCGCGAAACAGTTACGTTTCTACTGACACAGGTATCCGGATAACCCACGAGCCCAGTAGTCGTTTCTATCATGAGCTTCGAGAAAGAGGGTACAGGATCGAGTATTGACATCGCTCACGACACAGCACAACGCCCACAGCGTCTCCACCCTCTGTCCAATGAAAACCCGCCGTTCAACGTCAGCCACCCAATGCAAAAGCGCACACACGTCGCAGGTCTCGGCCTCCCTTCCTCCCGCTCCCTCACTCTCTCTCTCTCTCTGCAATGCTCCCACTCGCGGTTTCCCTCCGTCTCGCTGGTCGAGTCGCTGCTCGCCATGCTGCGCCTCGCTTGACGTCTCGTGCTTGTGTCGCCAACGCCCTTGCAGCTGGTCAAACAGGACTGTACTCGGTGCACTGGTACTCGTCGGCCCCTCTGGACCTCAGCGCAGCGGTTGTGGAACTGGAGACTACGGACGAGGACGGAGTGTTGACGCTGGAGCCTGTGGCGCTGGACAAGGGCTTTGTGGACCAGAAACTGCTGGAGGAGTTCGATCTGTCGCAAGAGACACAGCGCCACTTGCGCAAAGCTGGGGTCACGCATCTCTTTCCTGTCCAGACGCAGTCCTTTGATGTGATGATGAAGGGCTCGGACATCATGGGGCGCTCCAAGACTGGCTCGGGCAAGACCTTGGCGTTTGCCTTGCCTATTATTGAGACGATTGTCGCTAATCGCAAGACCACTCGCAACCCGCAAGCGCTCGTGCTGCTCCCGACGCGGGAGTTGGCGCAGCAAGTGCATGATGAAGTGCAACGCGTTGCTCCACAGCTGCGTGTCGTGAACGTCGTGGGTGGGGTCTCGTACACCGTGCAGGAGAGTCATCTGCGACGTGGTGTCGACATTCTTGTCGGCACACCTGGCCGAATTATGGACTTGGTGAACAAGGGATCGCTGTCGCTGGACGATGTGGACGTGTCAGTGCTCGATGAAGCGGACATGATGCTGAAATTTGGCTTTCAAGAAGCAGTGGAGACCATTTTGGGCTGGGTGCCGGAGGGTGGTCAGACTGTCATGTGGTCGGCCACATTCCCCAAGTGGGTGAGCTCGATGGCCAGCAAGTATTTGAAGGAGCCCGTGTCGATTGACCTCGTGGGCGACGTGGACAACCAGGTACCAGCTACGGTCACGCACAAGGCGATCAATGCGCCCATGCGTGAACGTGTCCAGGTGCTGGAAAATGTGCTGCGTCTGCATGCTCACGACGGTAAAACTTTGGTGTTCACGGAGACGAAGAGGGAAGCTGACGAGATTGTAAACGCATTGGCTGGTCAGGACGTTCGTGCGCTCCATGGTGACCTCTCGCAGGGTATGCGGACGTCTACGATGAACGGATTCCGCAGTGGCCAAGTGAAGACTCTTGTGTGCACGGACATTGCTGCTCGTGGTCTTGATATTGCCAATGTGGAGCTCGTCGTGCAATATCGTCTCCCGAGCGACAAGGAGAGTTTTGTGCACCGTGCTGGACGTACGGGTCGTGCTGGACGTTCAGGAACGAACATTGTGTTCTTTGACCGCAGAGACGCTGGTGATGTGCTGGATTTTGAGCGTCGCTACAAGTTTAAGTTTACGCATGCAGCCTCGCCTCGCCCGGAGCAGATGATTGAAGGTGCTCTGGAGGATGTGAACAAGCAGTTGGTATCCCTTCCCAAGGCAAATGCGCGGATGTTTGAGGAAGCAGCCAAAGAAATGATCGACGAGCAAGGACCAGGTGCGCTGAGTGCTGCGCTCGCTCTGCTGTGCGGCTTCGACTCGAAGAAGCTCGTGGCTCTTTCGATGCTGACGGGTCGTTTCCGGATGCAGACGGTGCAGGTGGAAGGCGTGCAGAGTGCACGGGAGCTCAACACGCTACTGTCGTCTTTTATGGACGAGCGTGTCGATATCCACCCAGTCGAGGGCGGCAAGCTTGTGTTCGACATCCCGCAAGGGCAATTGGAGAAGCTGCAAGCGCACTTAACTGCCGCGTCACCCGGTGAAGAGGTGACAGTGACTGCTGCTGTTGAGTTTCCTCGCTTGCTGATTGATCGAGCCGACCGCAACAACAATGCCAGTAGCCGCTTTAACTCTCGTGGCTTCTCGAAGAACCGGTTCGGAGACAACCGACGTGATGGAGGCAACAGTCGCTTTGGAGGCCACCGACGTGATGGCGGCAGCAATTGGAAGCGCAATGACCGTGAGGGTGGCAGCAGTTGGAAGCGTCACGACCGCGACAGTGGGTTCCGCCGCAACAACAGCAGCCGCGACCATGACTCGTCCAAAAGCCATTCTTCGACCCGCAGCAACTTTGGTCGCTTCACTGACTCGTGGTAGTGCTGAAAATCTTCGATCTGAAGGCGAGGTATGTATACGCCATGACTGTATTTTAGATAGTGAGAAGCACAGCTTGCAGTGCGTCGGGATACAATGAGCATTTTTGGTCGTGACTGTTGTCGATTTGAATTCAAGTAGCATGGGATGTGCCATGGAACACAGTAGCGGTCCGAATTTGTAGCTTGTAGCCCAACTTGTTGCAGTTGCTTGTCTGTTAAATGACACATCGCAATTTGCTGTAAAAGACCAATGTGTGTCCAACCAAGCTAGATACATAAAGGCACTTCATGTAAACTGCGCAACTAGGGTATCGTGAATAATCCATGGCGGAACCGACTAGCATTTGTACTTGAACTCGATGCATTCTGATATTGCTGCTCCCGCCCTGGTCATGATTCTGCTACTATGCCAGATCTGCGGGTTGTTCTTTATCGGATCACGCGTCTCGTTCCTCTTTGGAACTATTTAGCGTCCAGTTGGGCTAGCCAATTCATTACCGACAACTTTCTATCTCTGCTTTGTAAATACACCGAACGAGCAGACGTACGGGGCTGACCCATCCCTCGTTGTAGTCTTTCCTTCGACCCGCCCCCAGGATAACCAGAATGACATTTCGTCACGTTCGTCTGCCATTCTAATGTCTACTTGGTAAGGACATGGCGGAGTACGCAGTATCATTGACCCGACATCTCTTTTGCATCAGCTTACTTACCGTTTGCAGAACGTATTTATCCGCATACTCATTCGAGTCCCTAGCGCTGCGGCTTGTTTTGTCACGACAGCTAGCGTCAGCTGAAAGGTTCGTTCCAAGCAAGAGGATAGAGCTTTCGTCTGTCGCAGGTAGATCGGCTGTAATGGGATACGCATTGACAAGTCGAGTCCCAAATGCGATAATGGCTGTAATATTTGAGGCACATTTTCTGTCGTCAAAGAGGTGACAAAGTTGGTGGAGCAGTGAGATCGTGCTCTGAGTTCGTGGACGTGAATGGAGTGTTGGAAGCAAAAGTGCGCGATTCTGATGCCGTCGCCGTTTAGGAGCTGGAAGTGGGGGACAGCGTCACCTATTGTCCATATCATGAGTCATTTGGCGTGAGTCAGGTGATCGATCACGCTAGCCAGCTTACCCCTTTTCAACGCTTTATGGACCAAAATGCAGTGGTAGCGTCAGTTGCATTACTAGGTCACACTACACATTGGTTCAAGAGCAACCAGAAAGTCGTTCGACCGACCCTGACGTGGCTCAAAAATTGATCCGTCTTATCTAGCTTATGTAAAAGAGGTGATATGCCCGGTGTCATCGTGCCTCTTTTCATAGCGAACACGACCCGTGGTAGAATGACGATGTCAAGTCGGTGTCAACCTAGGTGTTAGCGAGCTTGTGAACTGCAAGTTTTTCGCTTGTGTTGTACGGTACAATATAATATAGTGGTCCTTCGATGAGTTATGTGCACAATGGACGGAGGTGTAACTTATAGAGGTTCAACTTACTAGATTGTTGTGCGGTCGAATGCATGAGGCGAGAGAATTTCTAGAAATCAAATAGCGGACGACAGCAAACGTTAGGAACGTGATCACTCCAACAAGTCACGAACTCCGGGAACAAGATAGAAACCAATTCCAAGATTATTTATCGTCATACATCGGACAAACGCTGACCTGTACGCTCCTACTTTGTGCACAAGCCGAAAATTTGAGATGCGTTCTCAAGTCTACAACATGTGGGTTGACCGTTTGATCTCACCAATGTCAGATGTGTCCCCTGACAACAAAAACAAATGTTTAAGATCCAGCCAAAGGGTGCCAGCACAATCTCGACATTTAAGCGGCGCTACTGTCGCTGCTACCATTTGTAGAATGCGATCGAATGTGACGAGCATTGAAGGTTGGCGAGATATACAAAGTCAGTTACGCCGATACACGTTGATCATCATATCCTTCTTATTGTGTTCGGTAGTGGTAGAATCCGAGGATTGCAATTGTGCGTAGGCTTACCGTAATATGTACACAGTGCCTGAAGGTGAGAAAATGCCTTACCGGTTATGTGTATGGATATCCCGACCGTAAAGCTGCACCAAGTCTATAGCTCTCAATTTCTGGCGCTCGTCAACCACAAAGTAGACGTGCTCATTTCAGATTTGCTATACAAAATAGAAAAACATCACACAATACACTCCGGGCCAAAAGTAAAGTGTACCCCACGTCTTCTAAACATCTCAGCGACTATTACGAATAAGAAGAGCTATTTGAACATGGTAGATCTGTAAGTGTGTTTGATAGGGCGCATGTGTAATCGACCCGGTGTTAGCAGTTGGTAGGGGGTCTCCCATCCCAATACAAATGTCAGAAATGGACGTGGTAAATGATAAGCCACCATCATCCATACAATAATCAAGATTAAATACGAGAGAAGAGCTGAATTGAATTAATCATGGGTCTTGCTGCAACGCAGCGCGATGCATTCAACGCATTGTTTTGGCATTGAACTTGCGAGGTTGCACAGGGTTTCCGACTCGATACCTGCCCACTCCGACAAATAGCCGTGGTTAGCTCGCTGACATTGTAATACTGCTTACCGTTAACGTTCACTTTCGCTGCCAAGATCGACCACCAGCTTTTGATTGGGTTCAGATCATGTGAACTTGCTGGCCATTTCATCACCTTCACTTGACGCACTTCAAAATTTCGCTGTCGACTCCGACGTATGAATCGATGCATTTTCCTGCTAAGAGAAGTAGTCGGCACCGTAGTGTAAATGTTCACATGGAAGCAGGAACTCCGATAGCTTGAGTAGATAATGCTCAGATACTTACTTCCCAGTTAGCACTGCTATCTCAGACTTTCCCTTCGCACTGAATGCGGCCTATAACATGATCTACCCATCACCGTTTTGTCTATGGACGGTCTCACGAGGCGGGGAGCGCAGGTCACGCCAGTAGTTCTTACAATAATCGGGGCCGTAGAAATTAAACTTGATTTCGTCCAAGAAAACAACTGCGTCTTAATCCGTTTCCATCATCTTGTGGCTCTTGACCAAAGGCTGTATCGATTTGTTGTGATCATGTGTGAGAGGTAGAATACAGTCTATTCTAGCATGTAATGTCCAGGCTACACAAAGTAGCATGCGGCGGACGATCCGCGCGGAGCACTTGAGCTCCAGATTGTCAGACCATTAGATGGACATACAACTTCCCATAGCTACCTCTAGCACGACGCGCCGCAAGTCGCGGCTTGCAAGAAGACTGGGAAAGCCTGTCGTGCTCTTTAGTTGCTGAAGATGCAATGTATCTCGAAAACACTTGCACGAGCGCTGAAGACGTCTCGCAATTTATTTGACAGAGTGTCCGACATCACGCAGACCACGAATTCGTTCCCCTCTTCATCCGTCAGATCTTTCTCTTTCCCCATTACTTGCATAACTGCATTTAGCAGTTGACTTTCTCTCGTACTCAGTTTTAATTATTGAGTGAACAAAGGTGGCTTATCTTTTCGCCACGTCCATTTTCTGACATTCGTATTGGGATGGGAGAACCCTATCAGCTGCTAACACCGGGCAGATTACAATGCACCCTATTAAACACACTTGCAGATCTATCATGTTCAGAAAGCTCTTCTTATTCGTAATAGTTGTTGGTAAATTTTTTAGAAGACGTGGGGTACACTTTACTTTTGGCCTGGAGTGTAGTACGTGGGCACGTTATACTAACGCAACAAATGATGTTTGAAAAGCAGCACGGGTTTGACTGGTGGTGGTGGGTCTGCACTTTCCACCTGTTGTATACCTAATGTGCAAAGAAGAGTACAATGCCGCACAAAGGGAGATCTATCTATTTGACTCAGAATCATTTGTTCCTTCGGCTGAGAGGTTACGCAGACCAAGGTCTTCCCTGACGTTATATACTTTGTAGCTCTGCTAATTTTTTCAGCACTTGTGTTCGGTCCTGCACATAGGTCCTGAACCGGTCTCGTAAAATAAAGCAATTTGTTCATATCTTCGAGACTCAAGGCGATGGATAAGTGTAAAGTGCTATCCAATTGCACTGCAAGGCCTGGACGTACTAAGCGTCCGTCTCGAGGCTTCTGTGTAATACGAGTCTACCTGGGTCGAGCAGATACAAGAGATCATGGCCCGATTTGTACCAAATCGTTACGCGTCAGCGTACGACGGGAATCTTAGATGATTCTGCTTATTGTGGGTGTGAACATTTTTGACAAAACGAAGAAAAAAATTACAATTTCGAAGGGTGAAGCTACACGTGAATGTGCGTAAGATGAATACCGAACTTACAAAATCAAATTTCCGTGTGTCTGCATCTGTCTCTGTGCGTGTAAATGAAGTCATGTATGCCTTTCACGTCGTACTAAGCTCTATATGTTATGTCCCCTCCTTTGTGTGCGTTCGTAAATAAACGCTAGGTGTACCTTTTACGTAGTACAAAGCGCGCTATGGCCTATTATGTCCGTGGGCACACATGTAATATGTATCTTACATGTCGTACTAAGTGCGATGTCGCATGTCCGCTCCTCACAGGTAGACACGCCTTATTGGTGGCACCCTTTAATTAAATCACCAATTTCGAGTGCGAAGGTTTAAAGTCCATACACGCACCAACGCCCACACATGATTGGCTCAAAGTGACCAAAGGAGACAGAGAACTGCAAGCGATTTCTTGACACCCAGGGGCAGCGAAAGTCTCGCACCTTTCGCAAACGGTTAGTGCGAACTGGTTTTAGTTTAAATCAGAGGGTCAGCTCCAAAGCATGCCCCCTATCAATTCTTTTTAGTTACAACCAATCTTTCCAGCACACGAGACCATCAACAGACCCGACCAATTCAGTAGATACATCAAGATGCTACTGAACAAAGTATGATAATGGTTTCTGATGTGGAGATTGAGATATTCAATCGAGCTTGTATTCGAAATATATGAGTGGATTCTGACCTGACATGGATTGCACTGTTCGTTTCCATAGTGGGAGTAAAGTATCGGTGTCACGCTTTT